GGATGCTCAGTAAATATTACTATCATGACATGTTCAACTTACAACATGCCAAACGATTTGTTTTTCCGCCATCACCACACCCATTGCGGACGACTACCTTTTTCCTAGTACCAGTTACCATCCTACCTGCATGTTAAGGTCGAAGGATGCCACGGCCCTCCAGAAACGCTACCATCTTCTCCCTTCGTTTAGAAGCACCTCGCGCGAAGTCCGCCTCTGACGATTCGCAAAGCATTGTCACAATCTGCCAGTTGTCCTCTTTGGCGATACGATACCAGTCATCACTGTCTTCCCTCAACGTTGCAAGAGAATCGGAACTGTACAAATTAATACGGTGTTGCCGACCGTTTTGGTTAATGCAGAAGATATGCAGCTTCATGGTGGCAATAATTATTTCGATGCTGACTTCTAATGAAAATTCCATCTGCCGTAAAATTCTCCATTTGTTAACCAGATATCCAAAAGCCTGTTCGACGTGCATACGCAGGGAGGATTGAAAGAAATTGTAAGCGTCGCGGTATGGGTGGCCCTGGAGTTAAGAGGCAGGATAAGGAGTTAATAAGCTTTCATCACAAGCATACGCTTCGTCCCCTGCTACCCAAAACTCATTTTGTAGCAAACCTGCGGCGAGATATCCGCCTAAGAACGACACTGAATGCGCTAGAGAGTCATTTGTTGACCCCTTACACTTTGCAGATGCAAGGACAAATCGATAGCGGGCATCCACGAGCGCCTGAACTGGTACAGAATAGTATCCCTTTCTACAATAAAATCCTGCTGGACCGTGGCGAGTCTCCGGCTGCTTGACCTTGACACATATCCCATCCAAAGCCCCTATGCATCCCGTCAAAGGATTCACGCTCCTGAAACTTTAAACTCTTCGGCAAGCCGCCGCAGTTGATCCTGGCACCCGAGAACATCTGGGAATGATAATCTGCGAGGCAGAGAAACCCTTGTCTCTTTGAAAATTGCGTACACCGTAGTTTTGCCGAGGGCATAGTGCCGCATCTCATCTAAGTAGCTGCCACCGGCAAGAAGGCGCAGTGTTATGCCCAATCTTGCGGCGGGTTTCACAGTGTTTCGTGCTTTTCGTCTCTTTAGGTCACCACCCAACATCTCCAGCAGACCATAAAGCAATGCCTACTCATTCGAAATGCACGCTCGAATTCTTCATTGCTATATAATGCAGTACTCTCTTCGAAACTTATATGCGTTCTTTGCCTTTCAGCGTTCACCCGCCGTGGCGCAACCCGGTGTGCATTTGAAATTTGCTCGAGTCGCAATTTTGCAAAAACCAGATTGACAGAATCCTCCTCTAGAATTAAAGCAGCTACAGCCGCTAGTAACACAGATGTGTGTTTGTCCCGTTGTCTTTCTGAAACGCTTTTCTTTCGCAGACTTTCAGAGCGACTCATCATACAAGAGCAAGGGACTTCACTGGAGAGAGAACGTCAGCGGTAGAGAGGAAGCGGTTACCGCAAGGTTTGGCTCGTGAAGACCTCTAGAAAGTGACTTTTCCGAACAGCCCTGGCGTCTTTCCTGTGCTGACGAATTCCTGTTGCTGTATGCAACAGCAGGCCGCGACATTGTCGGAAGTACCTATCATCCAGATCCGACCCGACGCCGTCCGGGCAACGTGACGGGTACTGTACCCTAAAATGTTGGCGAGGGCGAAACGTAGAGCCCTCACAACGGAGTTTGAGCTCTGTACTCTTTTTGTCTTACAGAAGTTTTCTTGAAATTTTCAATATAAAGCCTCAGACGGATGCAACGCTGGCAGCACTGCTGGCAGTCAAGAAAAAGAATGTTTGCGATGTGACCGCAAACTAAAACCGGGGGTCACCTGCTTTTCGTCTCCGTGACACTCTGTGTAAAATCCAACAAGTGGATAGGCAACAAAAAGCGGACATTGTTGCTATCCAGGGAAGTTAACACCACGCACAGATCCGTGCAAATGCTCATATCAGACCAAATTGGCAATTAAAATTTTCTTTTAGGGAGGTTGGCGACTTTGCCGTAGACGAGGCCGGCCAGCTCGACGGCGTAGCGCGGGACGAAGACCAGGACGACGTGCTTGGTGTAGCCCGTGTAGAGCTTGTCGGGCTCGAAGCGTTCACCGTCGGGGGTGAAGATGTCGGCCGCGTCGACGAGGGACCAGTCGATGGTGGGCGGGCGGGGCGGAGCGCCGGGGTGGGCCGGCGGGGCGGCTTGCGTGGTGGAGGAGGAGGAGGAATAGGGGGCGTCCGGGCTGGTGTCGAGCGCGGGGTTGAGGGAAGGGAACATGGACGAGTCGAAGTCTTCGACGAAGGCCGAGGGAGCGGGGGGAGCGGCTGGGCAGATGGAGTTGCCGCGGTAGTCGAAGTCGACCTCGTAGGTGGGGAGGGAGGTGGGCGGAGGGGCCGAGGGCGGAGGAGATGGGGGGCTGCTGCTACTAGACCTTTAGTGCAGTTATCGCTCTGTATATTAGAGGACACGTCGATTGGTACAACAGTAGGGTAGCATACCAATCGACTCAGACGTTGCGCAGAAGATCGTCACATATGCAAAAGCGGCATCTTTGTGGTAAACACTGTGTTTTTGCATAAAGCAAATGTACAATTTATATGGACATTATCATTGGGTAAATACACAACCAAAGCCCCCTAAGATCGACTCTTTACAGAAACGACACAGTCATCATGCAAAGACCACGTATGCCGCTCTTGCCGCCAAAAGAGTTGCAACTCAAACAATCTACACTGTCAGGAACAAAACGGACTCTGTCCCTAACTACGAACTGTTCAGGCGCCCGCGAGCCTATATAAAGCGAGCAGGACGCCACTTCTTGTCACCGCACATCCTCACCCGCCCTCACTCATCCCACCAGCCCCCACGCACGCCCAACCGGCGCCCTTACACACCCAGACCCACCTACACCCGCCCTGAACCGCCCTGACCCGCGCCCGCACTCGCACGTACCCGCCCTCATCCACCCTCACCCACACCCCACCCGTCCTCACCCGCCCTGATCCGCTCTCAACCGCCGTCAACCACCATGGAATACGTCACCCCCACGAAGGCTGGAAATGTTCTGAAGATACTCGCCGAGAAACGGGCGGAGCGTGAGGAAAATCTCGCTGTATTTCTCCCAGACAGTCAAGCCACTGACACTGACTCCGATGTCGAAGATTCAGACTCGCCAGTCATGGACGCCTTCATTGCGTCTGGGGGAGCCGGCGCTGTTCTTGAAATGACAAACTTTTCTCTTCTAGAGTTCAACGCAATCTGGAACATTCTCAAGGATGCAATCACTACGGACTGGAATTGCGGTCGGGGTCGAAAATGCCAGCATCAACCGAAAGACGTGTTCTTTATGTTACTTTCCACGCTGAAGCACAGTGGAAATTGGGACGTTAATGGAAAGATGTTCGGCGTCAAAGGCCCAACATTTGAGCGCATGATTCTAGGGTTTATCGAGAGGATTGTGGATGTACTGTATGATCTGGCGGTGATCAAGTATGAGAAGCGTTACACCATGCAACGTCTTCTGCATGAGAAGAAGACCTTCAAGCACTACAAGTTTGCACTGTATGCTACGGATGTCACCTTCCAGGCATGCAACAGGCCATCCGGAAATCACGAAGAGAGCAAAACCTACTTCAGTAACAAGCACAAAATGTATGGGTACAAGTCCGAGGTATCGGTATTGCCAAACGGCATCGCAATTGGAGCAACGCCACATCAGCCAGGCTCTGTTTCAGACTTAACAATCTTCAGGGACAACGTCCAGTGGCATGGTTCAGCACTGGCAAAAACTCGAAAGGAAATGGAAAACTTTCCAGATGTTGGTCCGTTGACGGAGGAATATGAGGGGCTTTGGGCTGTTTTGATGGACAAAGGTTATCAGGGCGCAGCAAATGTCATTAGGGCAATAAGTCCGAAGAAAAAGCCAAAGGGAGGAATGCTCACTTCGGAAGAGCAGCGGACAAACCGAAACATTAGTTCTGACCGCATTATTGTAGAGAACTACTTCGGGCGGCTCTGTACGCTATGGGCTGTAATGGCCAATAGATGGAGGTGGGATGAGAAGCATTACGACCACGTTTTCAAATTGTGCGTTGCGTTGACAAATTTGCATGCCAAATGGCACCCATTGAGGGATGTCGACGGTCTACACGCCAAGCAGTACAAACGGCGACTGACTGAGATCGGCGTCAAAAAAGCTGAAAAGCGTAAAGCTTCGCAGAAGCTCTACCGCGCGAAACGTGCTGCACGCATGTCCTCGGCGCTGGGTGTGGATGGAAGAGGTGAAGAGATGGGCGCGGGGGCGATGCTGGACATACTTAACACTTAGTATGCTTCGAAGTACGCCACTGCTTACTGTGTCAGTGCTCAAACTCGTTGTTCTTTCTTTATGCTTGCTCTTTTGCGCAATTTGCTCCTGTTTGCGCAACGATTGCGTCAATTGCAAAAAATAAAGTCTTTCACCTACAAACGCCGTTCTCTGCACACTGCTTAGTGTTTTCACATTTATAAAGCTACTGAATTCGAGCTCTACTGGAAACGGCACCAGCAGCATACAGTACTCATGTCGCACAGCAGGAGTGTTTGTCTGCGTGACGCCCATGAGACTTTAGTGAAATGAGGCACACGAAATTATTAATTAAAAATATATTCTTGTTTTTAGTGTTTAGTAACTGTGGTTCCATCCATAATACACGAGGACGGAGTCAGGATAGCGGCTCATCGCGTCAAAGATGTTGTCGGCTACGGCGGCATTGTTCGGTAGCGTACTAGCAAATCTGGTCACGTTTTCCCAGAATCGCTTGCTACGCGTAAGGCGTTGAATTTTTCACAAGATCGTGAAATAGCAATATCCGCGAGCAGGAGAAGAATCGCAAATCAAGAGGCTGTAACAACGGCTGTGGACCATTATAAGGTGAGAGTTGCCTGGGTAGAGGGCAAGAGAGTATCGGGAGGAAGCAAGCGATTCTGGGAAAACGTGACCAGATTTGCTAGTACGCTACCGAACAATGCCGCCGTAGCCGACAACATCTTTGACGCGATGAGCCACTATCCTGACTCCGTCCTCGTGTATTATGGATGGAACCACAGTAACTTGCTACAAAGAAAATGCCAAAATCTGGAAGCCTCAGGTCCTCCGCAGATGCTCCGTTGAACTGTGTACGTCCTGTCTAAGTTTCCAGAGAATTGCGCATTCCTCCGTTCCTCCTCCGGAAGCACTCCAAAACTGGCCAACGTACTCCGTTAGTACTCCGCACCACCTCCTATCGCGGTGAATATGTTTACTAGGGATGCCTGAAAGGTCTCCCAAAGACGCTGATAGTTTCCCTGCGTAGTAGAAGCGTACGCGGAACTGATGAGAGCCGCCGCGGTGTCCGAACCAAGGGCATGCGGTAGTACACGCCTTGCAGCTATAGAACCCTCACCTTCCCAGCGCAACTGCGCTTCTTCGCGTAATCGATAGCGATGCTCGACAGAGGACTCGTTAATCCGTGGCCGAGGTGGGAGATGAGAGCCCCTTGCTGCAAAGAGTTCTGGTACCAGCTTTGGGCTTGCCAGTGTGGCCCTACGAGCACACCGCGCCCTAGGCGCTGCAAGTAGCGGGCCCATACCGGGAGGAGCGCCGGACGAGGAAGGACGAGTGGTTCTCGACACACTGGGATGTGCGACGGGAGGTCGTGGCCGTCACCCACGTACAGGCGGCGACAGTAGCGGTGCTCTAGAAGCCGCACTGCGTTAGGCGGGCTAGTCCATCCATGGCTGTCTTGAGAGTCTGTCAGCCCATGTGTTGAGCACCGAGGGGATGTGTCCGGTAGAGAGGAAGACGCCCTCCGCCTTGCAGAGGTCGCGGAGCTCGCGCAGTCGAGCGAGAAGACGCGGCGAGCAGGAGGTCATATTTCGGACAACAAACTCGGTCACTTTTGAGTCGGTGACCAGCTGGACCTCTGCCGCGCATGATGTACAAAGCTGCGCAGCGCGTAGATGGCAGCGAGCAGCGAGCAGCTCGTTGATGTGAGCCCCCTCCTGCTGCTCGTCGAAGAACCCGGCAGCAGGGACTTGACCATTCCATGCTGCCCCCCAGCTCGCATCTGTAAAGACCACAGCGTCGACCTTTGGCCAGAGTGGGCGCCCGACGTGGCAGTTGGAGCTGAGGGCCATTCCATTCATCGTGATTGGCAATCATGCAATCACGCAATCACGCGATCACGACATTAATTTAACGTCGTTTTGCATCGTTCCTTCCTCCAACGTGTGCTACTTGTCGCTGTAAGCACATTTCCACGGCTTTGCATGTGCATGTGTTAACGCACTTCTTGCTTCATTCCATTTCACGTTTGGCACTCTGGAAAAACGAAGTTGCCGGCTGTAGTCAAACGGGTCTGACAGTGATTACCCACCATCGCAAAGGTTTCAAAGGAGGTAATGATGGCACGGCAAAGAGAGTAGATCCTGCTTTCTGGCTTTCCCACATGTGCAACCCTGGGTTGCACAAGCAGCGCGTTGATTATCATTTCGAAATGTACGAATATTTGAATGGGGTTTAAATCTTTAGAATTGCAAGGAGCATAACAGGAAGTTGGAGCACAAGATTAATTTTAAGTCGATTGTTTATTTCTTTAATGAGCATGACCATTTTTTAGGAAACGTAATATAAACAACCAACCACAAGGGAGCAGGCACCATTTATTGACGTGATTGCGTGATTGCGTGATTGCCAATCACGATGAATGGAATGGCCCTCAATCGCCATAGCTTTTCAATCGCTGTAGCATTCGAAGTCCCAAAACGTAAAGACAGCCTCTTCAAGTTCTGCATACGACAGTGCACGCGACTCTGCTGTGATCTGTGCTTTTGGGCATTGGAGGCAAACTCGTCGTAGGCCGCTCGTAGTTCCTCTTGATGAAGTGATTGCTCAAAGGGAGAAATTTCCCGACAGCGTTCCGACTTGATCAGCAACTTAGAATCGATGCTGAGCTCCCGAAGAGAAGTATTATTTGTCGCTAATGTGTGCAGGAGACAGAGCAACCGCTTATGTGCTCTCTCGCCTTGATGTTCGATGGAAATGTGAAGCTTTCTCAGTCTGTCGCCAATATCTTTCAGTATCGATACAAGTTCATTCTTCGCGATAACAACCTCATGCAGAGACAACACAGAAAGTAAGGGCATGGTGCGAATGTTACGGAGAATTGACCCACACTCGAATTTACCGTCGTAGTAGGGATGATTGGAGGCAGGCTTTCGAATCTCCAAAGACTCTAGCAAAGATGTGGGGCTCGGAAACATGATGACGGCTCTTGCGTTTTGATCGGTACGGTTTTCGTGCAAACGTGTCGGAACTGAAAGTATAGACTTTGGGCAAGGTTTGCATGATTCGGCGAATCGCGCCTCATATTTGAAAAAACCGCACTCGCAATATTGAACTGATAGATACTTTACCGGCCGTTCGATACGAGGATGCAGGATGATGGTTTCGCGAACCTCAGACGCGTAACGCCAATTGTAGTAGTTACGGATTGATCCTGCCTGATGCACAATGAGGTGGCAAATTTTGGGGAGGGAGAAAGCGAAACGCCAAACCATGCATCTTTCGAAGGAAAAGCACAAGCACTGCACCTCGAGCTTTGTAATGTTTGGACAAGACCTTGCTAAGTTGACAGAGTCATTGCCTCTCGGTACAAGACAGCATGAGTGGTCGTTGTGACGACAGTGACTATTAGAATGCATAAGCTTGAGTGCCAAGTCTTCAAGACGAGGCAGTGACGCTAAACACTCAAATACAAGCGGAATATGAGCAATTATGTACACGTCGAGCGACAACGTGCGAAGAGAACGGGCTCCATGGAGTTCCCGCAGAGTGGGCGGTACAGAGACCATTTGGACCCGTGCGAGCTTCGGTGCACGAAGGAGAGAAACAAACCCAGAATTAGATAACTTTGGATGCTCCCGAATGTTCAGCTCTCGTAGAGTGGGCTGGATAAGTGCAGCCCATCGCTCCAGAAGTGGGAAGTGTGGAGTGAGGACAAAGTTAGAGGAAAGGATTTGGAGGATTACCAAACGGAGATGAGGACTTGATTCGCCCAGAAAGATAATTTCACCAAACGAATCCGGGTCCGAAGGATTCGGTGTGAAGTTGGTGAGAATCCGATATATGACGTCGCATGGTAGAAGGTCCAGATATAGTTTTGGGGGTTTGGTGAGGGTGGTTTGAAGTTGCTTTGCCCTAGCACAAGCTGTGGGGGATACAGGCGAGAGGGAATGAGTCATTTTCGAGGCGTGGAAAAGGTTGGGCGATAGTTGAGGACGTAGAACAGGGGAAAGGCCGAACTCTTGCCGCTAGCGGCAGAGAACAAGGCATTGTTCTATAAACAAGAATGAAGGAGGGCTCTCGAGGCGGCCTGCATACTCAAGAGTGGCGAGAAATGAAATATATAACAACGAAGCCTGCAAGTACTACTTTGTGGGTTTCCGCCGGGGGTAGAGCCGAATGCTTACGAGAAATGCTCATTTTAATGACTTAACCACCAAGGTGTTCCGCATAGAATGTTCAAAAACTGCATTCCGACCTCGGTGGTGACGAAGCCTTAAAACAGCATAAAACATTTAAGGGCGTACGTGTTCCTATACGAGTCCAGCTCAGCCATGGCCCCGGTGTTTCTTATCTTCGCCAAGCACCCTTCTCCCACACCCTCCACAGCCGCTACCAAGAAGCCTGTATCCCCATGTTTGCTCGTGAGGTCATACTCTACTGTACTGTACCTTAGCCTTTGTCGAGCGGAACTTCGCCAGCAGCTCTGCCTCGTGTTACAGTATGCATCGGTGTCGAACCCATCCGGGCTCGAGGTCTCCTGCTTGCCAGCGACGCGTTGATCCTGCTTGCCAGCGACGCGTTGACTGGGCGACTGTTGAGGGAAATCACGTGGCAACGTGTGCAGATGGACATCGAACCGAAGGCTGGATGCGCGCGCACCAGGTGTGAACCTAAAGCGCGGGAGTCCTACGGAGGTGACGGCCAAGGGGGCGTAGTCGACGCCACCAGAGCATGGCGAAGGGAAAGGGTGGCCACGCCCGGTAGCGCTGGTCGGGGCAGGGGGGACAGGGACGAAGGGGGAGTAAGCAAGGAAGACAGGGATAGAGAGCTTCCCTCACGGCAAATGCATCCCCCAACCTCACGTGTGCCGTTAGGACATACTAGCGAAATAGTCCCCAATTGTAGTGGGGTGGAGGCGAGGCACTGGGTGAGGTGAACTGTCATAGCGATGCAGCTTTCACGCAAAAAGTTTACCAGCTCATATGTCACATGCACTCGATTTATTAATCACTAATGCCGCTGATATCACTGTCACTGATATCAATGTCACTGATAATGTTACAGCCAATATCGAAGACGGCATGTTCGAGTTCTACATACGAAATTACGCGCGAATGATGCCGGTCTATAACATGTACATGGGGGCATTTGAGAGAAAAATCAGTGTAGGCCGCTCTCAACTCGTCTTGATGAATCAATCTCTCGGAAGGATGGATGATATCAAAGCCCTGCGATTCGATCAACAACCGAGTATTAAGACTGAGCTCTTGAATAAAAAGATTGAACCTTCCTAACATTCGAAAGAGCCACGACAGTCGATCATAACCCTTCTCTCCTCGGAATTCGATTGTGGCGGCAAACTTTTTAGTCTAGTCCCAACTGCTTCCAAGATAGATCCTAGCTCATTTCTTTTCACATTGATCTGTTCGAGAGACAATACGCAGAGTGTAGGCATGGCAATAGCATGCTGCAGAATAGATCCAATGAAGAGATTCTTTCCGCCATTTATGCCTTCACTATTTCGAACCTCGAAGGACTCGAAAGACCTTGTCCGATATGGAAACGTATACATAGCAATATTCGTCATTTTCGGCTTCTACATTTTCCGTCCATACGGAAAAAGAACAGTTGGTGGGCAAAACGGCTTCAGATGAATCAGAACATATAACTTCGCAACTGGTGCACAGAAAATCAAAGTCGACGGAGAAATGCTTAATCATACGTTCCATGCGAGGTAGTAGGATGAGGTCACGGCGAATTGGTTCATGGTCTTCACGAAAGGGAATGTATAACCGAGTCGGCGTTTGCTGACGCACGACAAGGTGGTGAATGTTTGGAAAGGAGGCAGCGAAGTGCCACGCAGTGCAGTTATCCGGACGACCACACACACACTTGATGTCAAGCTTTTGGATGTTGGGGCAAGCTAAAGAAATCCTCCCGCCATGCGGCGAAAAACTGCAAACGCTCTTGCCCTCTAATCTCAGAGTCAAGTCTTCTAGATGAGGCCAGGACTTGAAACACTCGAATGCGAGTAGGGCATCGGTTTGGCTTCGCACGGTGAGTGACAAAAAACGCAAATATGGCGCTCCCTGAAGCGCATGAAGCCTATCCTGTGAAGCGAGCATAGACACTCGTGTCATTTTAGGGACGTCAAGTAGAGACAGGAGTCCGGGATTCGGGGCCTTGGGATGCACTCGAATGTCCAGCTCTCGTAAAGAAGGTCGGAGAACCGCAGCCCATCGTTCCAGAAGGGTGATGCGTCATGTCACGCAGAACTTGAAGGATATACTTTTGAGGATTGCCAGACGAACATGAAGAATGGCTTCGGCTAGAAAGAGACAGTCATAAAATGAGTCTGGGTCCGATGGGTGAGGGGCAAAGTAGGAGAGATTGCGGTTCTGGACTTCTAGCGGGAGACTTTTCAGACACAGCCCATGGTAAGGGGCATTGCAAGGTGCGGAGGAGCGTGTCATGGCACAGGTTGATAGAAAGGGTTAGGGACGGCTGTTTTTTGGAGACGCTAAGGAGCGCTCGCAAACTGAGATACTTCAGCAATACAAGAAAGCGTTGTTTAAACAGAAGGGGTGCGTGTGCTTTGCAATGTGCATAGAGAAGAGGTCATGAGGTGGACAACACATCCGGCTAAGCAACATGAAGTACAATCCTTGGCCGAAGGCCTACCAAATACGATTACGCATTAGAAAACGATTCACACCAGACCCGAATCCGACTAATGCTGAGAAGCCCACCTGTTTCAGTCAATCCGCCGAGACCAAGTAAGCAGTCTTTGAAGATCAGAAACAAGTCATTCCTTGAAAAACTCTTCAATGAACAATTTTGTACGATCGCCGTTGTCACGGAAAAAATATGCCGGCACAGCGATACAACGCATCGTCATCAGAGTTTCGCACCGCATCCAGCTCAGCTAGAATTTGTTTACTTCACCGTCCCCCATCCAATCACCCGTCTCTTCAACCTCCATCGAAGCGAATGAGCAAGACACGTCCGCTTCGCCGTAAGGCAACCCTGCGAAACAGCCCGTGTCTCATCGTACAACACGCACATTTGGGGCTTGCCCATCGGGCATCCAGCGCAGCATGTAGCCATTCCTATGTGGCGAAGTACCTGGAGCGGCCGGTGTGTGTCTTCGGGCAAGGAGCCGCGGTGCGTTGCGTATGTGTGTGTCGGATGCGGGTAGAGGAAGGCCATGTGACTGGGGATGTGGAATCTCGAAGTGGGCCAGGTCATTTCTCTGTGTGGAGGAGATTTCGAGGGGGCTGGACTCTTACCGGGCGACTTGTCTGAAGAGCCTGGAGGTCAGTCAAGGCTTTCAGTCTTCTGTCGCGTGAGGTAGAACTAACAGCGGCGAGGAACACAGCGTTTGAGATGGGGACACCTGCCAAGCCGCTCTGTTTACAACAAGCCTTTGAAAAGGGGCCGTCATGGGGCGCAGGATGTGTGAGATGGCACAACCTATAAAGACAGTGGACTATATGGAGCACCTAAATCTACACCGGCATCCATTCCAACGCGCCCTGCCACTGAAAACCCTGCGATTTACATCCTGTCGAGGCCGACTTCGAATCACCGGAAGCCGAGCTGGCCTCGATTGATACTTTACTACAAAAATACACTGATGAAGAAACACTCAGAAGCCATCGTGGGAACCCTCGTGATCTTGACGGCAGAAAAAGAGGACGGCGATGAGACTGTAACGCTGCAAAACCAGTAACCAGTTCTGCAGACAATAGCATGTCTAACCTCCCAGATTCTACGCTACAAGAATGGTGGCAAGCCCCCGAAGCCTACACACCCCATCCTACTGCTTAGCAACGACACAACCGGTGAGCACAGAGCGCCCCTGACGTTTGAACTGCAGATACTCGGTTCGTGGCTTCATACTGCCAACGCGAAGAGTCGGTGCCGCAGCGATAAGCCACGATTGGCATGAATCTCGCGTCAATTGTCGTCTTTACTTGCGAGGACGAGTTCGCAATGGGAGACACTGTAACGGAAAATAGTGAGTTCCAAGTCAAAAGTCAGAAAGTTGGTGCCCAGCAGGATGACTGGTAGTGTTTCAAGGGAAAGAGCTGTATGCAGCTGTGGCCTGCGAATCGCCACCATGAAATAGTGTTATCGATAATACTAGGTGGCGCGGTCCCTGCGGTGGCGGCACATAGCATGATCACCACATCACCATGTTCTTGCGATCGTCCTCAGAGAGGTTTCTTGAATCAGTCCAATAGTTGCCGATTGGCTCCCACAATTGTTTGTCCTCGGCCACTTTTCTGAAGTATCTCGGCTGGATCTTGCCGCCTCCAGACTCTACTCGCTTCTTGGCGGCGGCTCTACGATCCCGTTGCATCTGCTCAATGCGGATCTTCTCCTCGGCAGCGACGGTGCGGTTTCCTTTTTCTAGGGCCAGACGGTCCGGTCGAAACCGGGAGTCATTCGGCGGGAGCTCCAAGGCGTGGTCTGAATGCAAGGAGAGGATCTTTTTCGTAAACTTTGTGCAGTTGGCGTAGACACCCGTGACACCGCCGCCTTCCTCTTCTGAGAGCAAATGCGAGCCCGCCATCCAGAGGCGATTGGTGCCCTCCCCTTTTGCCTTGGCGACGCGCTCGCAGTCCAAAAATTTGTTCCAGGCGCCCTTAAACAAGACAATCTTCGTGGCATTGCTATCCAGAAGCTCGCCGGCAACCTCATACCTCCCCGCCGAAAACCAGCCGCACTGAGTCAGGTTGAGGGTGGCCGAAGTGCCCGTGGTCTCGTTCTTGAGCTCGACGGTTCCAAAATGGTCGACAAAAGCGCCTCCCACAAACAAGTTGGAGACAAGTGCCTGGGGCAGGGTCCATGAGTAGCGGTCGCCCGTCTTGTGGAGGTTGATATAGCGCGAGCCGACATTACGCACCTCTATGGAATTACCGTGAAACGTGGCGGCGATGTCGACAACCTCGCCAGCTTCCCAGCCCTTCCCCTCGCAGTGGGAGACGGAGACTGGTGGGTGGTGTTCCACCTGCTCTGCATAAAAGCGCATGCCATTGAGCGGATGGGTGTACTCAAAGGACTCCCCCAGGACGGGGTTGAAGGGCTTCCGTACCCTCTCCGTATGCGAGAAGGCGGAGATGACAAAGGCGGCGACCAAGCAATCGCGGAGGACGGGATCGTCAGAGGTGGCGGCGCGATCCAGGAGATCGGAAAATTCGAATGTCTCAATCATGCGGGTGAGGGCGGTGGAGGGCTCGAAGAGCCAGATGGGGAGAGACAGGCGCATGTTCATGACGTCCATGCCGACGACGGAGGCGAGCTGGCGCCACAGGGCCTGGCGCGAGGCGGCATCGACGTTGCCGAACTCGGTGGAGGGCTTCGGAGCGCCGCGTCCCTCCGTGAGGGCGGTGGTGGGCGTGAGCTCGGCGAAGGATTCGGGCGGCGGGCCGATGACAGTGGAGTAGGCTGAGCTGGCCATGGAGGAGAGCCAGCCGCCCCAGGACGCGGAGGCGTCTGTCGCGGGCTGGTCGGCCATGGGTAGGGGGTGGGGCGGGGGAATGGGGGGGGCCTGTGAACAAAAGGTACG